ACAAGCAGCCCGAAACAACTGTCACTGTGGAAGAAGTTCCTGTGGAAGAGGAACAACCTGAAGAGATTCGGGAACTTCCAGAGGAAGTCCGTGTTGTGGAATCAGTAACCGAAGACGGCAAGCCCAAAAAGAAGAAGATACGCACACGTATTATCAAGAAGGTTAAGGGTGATAAGCAAGAGGTCACCAAGATTGAAACCGTCGAAGAAGACGACAAGCAGCCCGAAACAACTGTCACTGTGGAAGAAGTTCCTGTGGAAGAGGAACAACCTGAAGAGATTCGGGAACTTCCAGAGGAAGTCCGTGTTGTGGAATCAGTAACCGAAGACGGCAAGCCCAAAAAGAAGAAGATACGCACACGTATTATCAAGAAGGTTAAGGGTGATAAGCAAGAGGTCACCAAGATTGAAACCGTCGAAGAAGACGACAAGCAGCCCGAAACAACTGTCACTGTGGAAGAAGTTCCTGTGGAAGAGGAACAACCTGAAGAGATTCGGGAACTTCCAGAGGAAGTCCGTGTTGTGGAATCAGTAACCGAAGACGGCAAGCCCAAAAAGAAGAAGATACGCACACGTATTATCAAGAAGGTTAAGGGTGATAAGCAAGAGGTTACCAAGATTGAAACCGTCGAAGAAGACGACAAGCAACCCGAAACAACTGTCACTGTGGAAGAAGTTCCTGTAGAAGAGGAACAACCTGAAGAGATTCAGGAACTTCCAGAGGAAGTCCGTGTGGTTGAATCAGTAACCGAAGATGGCAAGCCCAAAAAGAAGAAGATACGCACACGTATTATCAAGAAGGTTAAGGGTGATAAGCAAGAGGTCACCAAGATTGAAACCGTCGAAGAAGACGACAAGCAGCCCGAAACAACCGTCACTGTGGAAGAAGTTCCTGTAGAAGAGGAACAACCTGAAGAGATTCGGGAACTTCCAGAGGAAGTCCGTGTTGTGGAATCAGTAACCGAAGACGGCAAGCCCAAAAAGAAGAAGATACGCACACGTATTATCAAGAAGGTTAAGGGTGATAAGCAAGAGGTCACCAAGATTGAAACCGTCGAAGAAGACGACAAGCAGCCCGAAACAACCGTCACTGTGGAAGAAGTTCCTGTAGAAGAGGAACAACCAGAAGAGATTCAGGAACTTCCAGAGGAAGTCCGTGTGGTTGAATCAGTAACCGAAGATGGCAAGCCCAAAAAGAAGAAGATACGCACACGTATTATCAAGAAGGTTAAGGGTGATAAGCAAGAGGTCACCAAGATTGAAACCGTCGAAGAAGACGACAAGCAGCCCGAAACAACTGTCACTGTGGAAGAAGTTCCTGTAGAAGAGGAACTACCTGAAGAGATTCGGGAACTTCCAGAGGAAGTCCGTGTTGTGGAATCAGTAACCGAAGACGGCAAGCCCAAAAAGAAGAAGATACGCACACGTATTATCAAGAAGGTTAAGGGTGATAAGCAAGAGGTCACCAAGATTGAAACCGTCGAAGAAGACGACAAGCAGCCCGAAACAACTGTCACTGTGGAAGAAGTTCCAGTGGATGAGGAACAACCTGAAGAGATTCGGGAACTTCCAGAGGAAGTCCGTGTTGTGGAATCAGTAACCGAAGACGGCAAGCCCAAAAAGAAGAAGATACGCACACGTATTATCAAGAAGGTTAAGGGTGATAAGCAAGAGGTCACCAAGATTGAAACCGTCGAAGAAGACGACAAGCAACCCGAAACAACCGTCACTGTGGAAGAAGTTCCTGTAGAAGAGGAACAACCTGAAGAGATTCAGGAACTTCCAGAGGAAGTCCGTGTGGTTGAATCAGTAACCGAAGACGGCAAGCCCAAAAAGAAGAAGATACGCACACGTATTATCAAGAAGGTTAAGGGTGATAAGCAAGAGGTCACCAAGATTGAAACCGTCGAAGAAGACGACAAGCAGCCCGAAACAACTGTCACTGTGGAAGAAGTTCCTGTAGAAGAGGAACTACCTGAAGAGATTCGGGAACTTCCAGAGGAAGTCCGTGTTGTGGAATCAGTAACCGAAGATGGCAAGCCCAAAAAGAAGAAGATACGCACACGTATTATCAAGAAGGTTAAGGGTGATAAGCAAGAGGTCACCAAGATTGAAACCGTCGAAGAAGACGACAAGCAACCCGAAACAACCGTCACTGTGGAAGAAGTTCCTGTAGAAGAGGAACTACCTGAAGAGATTCGGGAACTTCCAGAGGAAGTCCGTGTGGTTGAATCAGTAACCGAAGATGGCAAGCCCAAAAAGAAGAAGATACGCACACGTATTATCAAGAAGGTTAAGGGTGATAAGCAAGAGGTCACCAAGATTGAAACCGTCGAAGAAGACGACAAGCAGCCCCAAACAACTGTCACTGTGGAAGAAGTTCCTGTAGAAGAGGAACAACCTGAAGAGATTCGGGAACTTCCAGAGGAAGTCCGTGTGGTTGAATCAGTAACCGAAGACGGCAAGCCCAAAAAGAAGAAGATACGCACACGTATTATCAAGAAGGTTAAGGGTGATAAGCAAGAGGTCACCAAGATTGAAACCGTCGAAGAAGACGACAAGCAGCCCGAAACAACCGTCACTGTGGAAGAAGTTCCAGTGGATGAGGAACAACCTGAAGAGATTCGGGAACTTCCAGAGGAAGTCCGTGTTGTTGAATCAGTAACCGAAGATGGCAAGCCCAAAAAGAAGAAGATACGCACACGTATTATCAAGAAGGTTAAGGGTGATAAGCAAGAGGTCACCAAGATTAAAACCGTCGAAGAAGACGACAAACAGCCCGAAACATCTGTCACTGTGGAAGAAGTTCCTGTAGAAGAGGAACTACCTGAAGAGATTCGGGAACTTCCAGAGGAAGTCCGTGTGGTTGAATCAGTAACCGAAGATGGCAAGCCCAAAAAGATGAAGATACGCACACGTATTATCAAGAAGGTTAAGGGTGATAAGCAAGAGGTCACCAAGATTGAAACCGTCGAAGAAGACGACAAGCAGCCCGAAACAACCGTCACTGTGGAAGAAGTTCCAGTGGATGAGGAACAACCTGAAGAGATTCGGGAACTTCCAGAGGAAGTCCGTGTTGTTGAATCAGTAACCGAAGATGGCAAGCCCAAAAAGAAGAAGATACGCACACGTATTATCAAGAAGGTTAAGGGTGATAAGCAAGAGGTCACCAAGATTAAAACCGTCGAAGAAGACGACAAGCAGCCCCAAACAACTGTCACTGTGGAAGAAGTTCCTGTAGAAGAGGAACAACCTGAAGAGATTCGGGAACTTCCAGAGGAAGTCCGTGTGATTGAATCAGTAACCGAAGATGGCAAGCCCAAAAAGAAGAAGATACGCACACGTATTATCAAGAAGGTTAAGGGTGATAAGCAAGAGGTCACCAAGATTGAAACCGTCGAAGAAGATGACAAGCAACCCGAAACAACTGTGACAGTGGAAGAAATTCCTGTAGACGAGGAACAACCTGATGAAATCGAGGAGCTTCCGGAAGAGGTTCGCGTAGTTGAAATTTTATCCGACGACGGCACACCCAAGAAAAAGAAAATACGCACACGTGTTATCAAGAAAGTTAGAGGAGATAAACAGGAAATCACCAAAATTGAAACTGTGGAAGAGGATGATAAAAAGCCGGAAACTACTATTACTGTGGAAGAAGCAGATACTCACAGCCCTCTTGGCGAAAAAATTTATTTGAAGAAGAGAGTTGTTGTGCGCAAACCCGAAGATGATGTGTCTGTTTTTGAATTGCCTGAAAGAAAATCAATAATTCTTTCTGAAAAAGAGGATGGGACTCCAACTAAGACAGTTATTAAAACAAAAATTATTAAAAAGGTGAAAGGCGCTAACATGGAAGTTACCAAAGTTCAAACAGTCGAGGAATATGAGAAGCCAACCCAGACGAAAGTAACAGTTGAAAACTTCCAAGCGCCTTTCCCAAATCTTCCGGAAGAAATGGTCAGTGAAGTTGTTGTTTTGCCTGAAGAAACCCTAGAGACTGAAATTCTGGACAAAGATGGTGTACAAAAACTTCTTAAGACTAAAAAGCGTGTGATAAAGAAGCCGAAAGATGAATTTAAAGAGGAAGTAACGGAAATTGATATTACTGAACAAGAATCAGGCGAACCCGTCTATACTATAACGATCAATGAACTTCCATACACTGAGCCTGTTCAAACTGATAGTAGGTCAGTTGAGTTACCAGAACAAATAACTGAACTCGAAGTCACTTCTCCAGACGGAACAAAAAAGAAGAAAATTGTTAAGACCCGAGCATTTAAAACGAAGATAGATGAAAATCACGATGAAGTCACTACGGTTAATACGGTTGAAGAAGAAAATATGGAGCCAATAACCAGTGTGCTTGTTGAAGTCGTTCCAGTCGATGAAACTTCTACTTTACCAATTCCTATTGAGGAATTGCCAGAAGAAATTGTGTTTACTGAAGAAATTGCCGACAATAAGAAGCCACGGAAAAAGACAACAAAAACACGAACATTTAAAAAACAAGGTCCTCAGGATGAAGAATATTATCAAATACAAACAGTTGAAGAGGAAGGCAAAGAGCCATATTCACTTATACGCGTTGTTAGTGATGAAAATATTGCTGACATTATTGATATCAGTAAGCTAGATGACGAACAACTTCCCAAACACAAAAAACAAAAGCCACACAAACCTAAGGGTAAGAACACAAACCACAACACTCAGCATACACCACATTTTACACTAGAACTACAATTGAAGTATACGCAAAATACCATTTATATTTTATTAATTGGGAGGCGCAAATAATTAGACACAGTTTAATTTCTAAATTGATTTTTTTACTTTTTTATTTATTTTTTTTTTTTAAATTGTGATAGTTGAGCCTAAAGGCCAAACTTTTATTAACTTATTTAAGTTAAGTTTAGATTAAAGCAACATTTCTAGACTGTTAATAACAAATTTTTTTGATCATTCCATATTAATTAAAAAAAAAACATTACAACATAAACACAGCGGAGAAACAACAACCCGAACACACTGAAACGGAACACCCAACTTACATAACAACATTTAAGTCTGTACAAAACGAAGATGGAGAAACTTCGATTCAAACAGAAAGTAAGAGAATTTCTCAGGAGGAAGGCATCGTTGTTGAGGAAGTACTCAGTGACACAGAACCACTTATGGAAGACACCACACAATCAAACATTGAAATTGTCGAAGTCAACGAGCCTACAGGTGATTTTCTTTTCATATTTTCTTTTACACATATACCCAAGTACATGCATATTTCGGTGCTATGTACTTTTATTCCTGATTCATATGACTAGAGTCTAAAAAATCACAAATACGTGAACGATAGGTTACAAAATTAATTGCGATTTAAACGTTTTGAATCAAAGCAAAACAAAGTAGCTTTCAATTTAGTAACACAAACAAGATCTACACACAAGAACACAAAATTCTGTTTGAAAACTTTTGGCACTATATACTTACTAACAAGATTGACTAGAACACTTTTACATAATCACATAAGTATTCTAGTACGATATGTATACTGAGGTTGTATTTGTACACTTAAAAAACAAGCATAAAACGTACATTACAAACAATGATCAACAATTTAGTTAACATTATATGCAAGCATCTCAAACACTTAACTTTATGAACTACAAAGTTGATGTGTTTTAACGCATTATAGAAAATGCAAATATAATCTTAACAAATTAGTTTAGTGCTAACACACAAACACATAATTTTTTCTCAAACAGACCAATACAACAAAGAGTACACTATCACAGAACCCGAAGATGCAAGTGCAGATAACACCGAACAAACACCGACCAAAGTTAAGAAACCCAAACAGAAAAAGACACAACCAGAACAATTCGAACAGATTGACGAGACAGGGGAAGATGAGGGAGGTTCTGGGGAACCTATAGACAAAACTAAACCGAAACGCAAGCCAAAGGTTGAACAACTAGAGGAAGATGAGGTTGAAAAAACTGCTAATGAAGAACAGGGTACGGAACCAACTAAGAAAAAAGATAAGCCAAAGAAGAAAAAGATCGTCAAATCAAAACGCGATGAAATGGATGACTACATACAGTTCCTAATCCATCAGGAAATACCAAAAACCGTTTTACAGCCGTATGTACGTACGGAAATGGAACATCCGCAAAATGCTCGGCGAGACTCGTTTATTAAGCCCATGAAGCTAACTCCCATGAAAATTGAGAAAATAGAAGTGAAGAAACCTAGGATGGTTGAAATAAGTTCTGTGGTCGAATTTCCGCAAATGCTCAAGCTCAAAACTCCTAAACAGCGTCCACAAGAGGAAAAGAAGAAGAAATTGAATGAAGCATCCTTTAAAAATAAGAAACTTAAGAGCTGGATAAGATTTATACCTTATTCGCCATACTGCTTCCCGTATACAGTTATTGACATGGAAACTAATCAAGATAATGGTGAACTTTCGCGAACTATAGAGGAAGCGGAAGAAGTATTAAAGAAGCGGCCAAAGAAATTCAAGCATACAAAGCCCGTAAAAGCCGAACTGGAAGAACTAGATTTGGAAGCATTTGAAGATAAAAAGGAGCCAGTAGATGAACAGCCAGACAAACCAAAATATCAACGCGGTAAGAAGGACACAAAAGAAAAGGATGAAAAGCCAAAGAAATTGAAAATTGGCAAGGGTAAAATTCCAGAAAATATCGAATCCACCGAAACCGTGGAATTAAAACCAGTCAAATTTGACGAGAGTGTCGAAGAAACAACTGAGAAGCCAGAGCAAAAGCCCAAACAAAAGAAACCGGCTAAGAAGACAAAGCCATCCACAGAGTCTGATGATAATCTAAGCTTCAAGCCAGATTTGAGTGATGAGGACACTGAAGATAAAGAAATCCAATCTCTCTTCAAATTCGAAGTCATTGAAATGGAACCCGAGGAAGTGGTAGAGGATACCACTGAAAGTGTTGTGCATCCCGTTAAAGAACCAAAGAAAAAACGCAAGCTAAAGCTTAAAACTGAATTAGAAGAGAACATAATTGAGATTGTCGAAGTTTCTCCGAATGATGCAGATGATAAGCAATATGAAGTTACAGTGACTAGTTCTGAAGTTAACGAGGATCAGCCCAAGGAAAAGAAAATACTCAAAAAGAAAATAAAACGTATGAATAAAGAAGAACTAGACGAGTTTGTAGCAGAGCTCAAAGAAGAGCCCGATCAAACATTCTATGAAACTGCTATGACTGATTTCTATGAAGTTAAGTTAACTGAACTCGAACCTGAGATGACTTCTGATGAAAATGTGCCGAAAAAGACTCCTAAGCGTAAAATTTTGCATAAGCGGGGAGACAAAGAAGAGATTCTAGAAATTGTAGAAACTCTTCCTTCATCCGGCGAGGAGCCATTATACGAGATAATAGTTACATCTGTTGAGCCCGAAGATCAGACTGATACTGAAAAGACAGTTGAGAAACCAAAACAAAGATCTAGGAAAATGAAAAAGGATGATCTAGATGCGTATATACAGCAGCTGATAAATGCAGAGATTCCAACAACTGAACTTGAGCGATATGAAAAAACTGAGATTGATGCAAAACCAAAGAAACCAAAGAAACATAAGACCAAACAACCACAGGCTCCCATCGATGAAGGTGAAGCTTTTGAAGTGGGCATCACACAGGAAGAACCAGTTAAGAAACCCAAGGTCAAGAAACCGAAGCCTGAACCTAAAGTCGAAGAAGAAAAGATAACTGAGCCGGAAACTGTTATTGAATACGATGAATTCACAATCAGCACAATTGATACGCAGCCCAGTGCTCAACAAATTGAAGAAGAAACAATTGAGACTGTTCCACTCGATGTGGATGACATAATAACCGATATTGGCGAGACTCTCCCTATTGTGGTATTGGAGGAGTACACTGAGACAATTCCTGAATCTATTGAAGAAGTTACCAAGCCAGAAACTAAATTAGTTAAGCGGCGCAAGGTGAAAACAAGGAAGGGATCCAAGCAGTACGAAATAGAAATCGTGGAAAGCCTACAGCCGGATGTTTCTGATGAGGAAGCAAAGGTTACAGTTATAACAACTGAGGTCGTTGAAGAAAGTACTGATGTACCGATTGAAGACAAGCCAGAAACACCAAAGAAGATTGTCAAAAAGGTGAAAAAAGATAAACTCAAGGAGTACATTGTCAAGATCGTCGATGAAGTACCAACAGAACTGCTTGCCAACATTTCTGAAGATGTATCCACCGTGGTAGATGTGAAGCCCATTGAGGATGATGATGTCACATCTTTCAAGACTACTGTTGTTGACGATATTAGCGAAGATGAGCTCAAGCCAGAAGAAGAATTGGTTGAAAGTCCAACTAGCAAGCCAAAGGATAAAAAGAAGAAATCAACTAAGCCAAAGAAAGTTACAATTATTGAAGAGCAGCCAGTACAGATCGAAGACAACACTGAGCAAGAGACGTATCCTGAGGAGGCTGAAGAAATAACTCAGATACCGTCCTTCGATGATTATTCAGTTGAAATAACAGAAACGGCTCCTAAACCAAAGAAGAAAGCGCCGAAGAAGAAACCTGAGAAAACAACGCCTGCTCCGATCTCTGAACAGACAGTTCGTATTGAGGAATTCGCTCCTGAAATAATAACTGAACAAGTTATCAATGAACAAGGCGAGGAGGTAGAACGTATTACAACAAAGCGAAGACTTAAGAAGAAGGAAGGTCCAAAGGAATATCTAATCGAAGTTGTTGAAACTTACGAAGAAAACAAGCCCGAAGCAGAATTAGTTATTGAGACTACTGAAATATTACCAGAAACAGAAACTGAAACACCCAAAGATCACAAAGTCAAGGTTGTAAAGAAAAAGAAACCCAAATCAGAGAGTCTAGATAGTTATATTCAGAAGCTAATAGAAGAGGAGGTTCCAAAAACAGAGCTTGAAGTTTATGAAACAACTGAAATAGATTCATCACCGGAAATCAAGCAACCGAAAAAGATAAAGAAACACCATAAGAAAATCACTGAAGTAGTTGATGGAGTCCCACATACAGTACACGAATTTACCATTCAAGAGTTCGAGCCAGAAGAAGTGGAGCAAGTTCCTGAAGCCGTTATAGAGTTAGTGGAGGAAGAAATCCCAGAAACGCAGCCTGAAGACTTCGAAGTAAAACCAACTGAAGAACAGCCAAAACGTAAGCCGAAGAAGGAAAAGAAATCTAAGGTGTCAGTGGTTGATCAAGAGCCAGTTAGCATTGAAGATATTGCGGAAACTGTTGAAATTACAAAGGTAGTTGAGGATGATGGCGCTACTAAAGAGGTTCAAGTGAAGAAGCGTAAGGTCATACGCAAGCAAGGTCCAAAGGAACACGTTTTTGAAATAACAGAGACATCTACTAACGAAGAGCCTTTGGCTGAAGTCACCATTGTTGATATTACAGAAGATGAAAAGCCTAGTGAATCAGATAATGTTAAACCGAAGCGTAAATCACCAATTAAATTGCCAAAGAAACTTAAGCCCGAGGACATTGAAAGCTATGTAATAAATATCGTGGAAGAGTTTATTGAGCCAATAGAGCAGTTTGAGGATATTACCCAAGTCCAGGAAACTCCTGAAGCGGTTGTTGAAGAAGTTACTCAAGTTGAGGAAGTTCCCGAAGAAACTGTCGAAGAAATCACTGAAGATAAAATCGCTAAAATAAAAACTAAAACGACAAAGCCTAAGAAAACCAGCAAAAAACCAGAAGATCACACAATCCGTATTGAAGAGCTTGCTCCTGAAACCACAATTGAAGACATTGTAAATGAAGAAGGAGAAGAAGTTAAGCAGGTTAAAACTATAAAGAAACTCAAGAAAAAAGAAGGACCCAAAGAGTATTTGATTGAAATAACCGAAACCTATCAAGAGAATAAGCCAGACGCCGATGTTGAAGTAATAACTACGGAAATACCTGCAGAAGTAGCAGCTACGATAGATGAAGAACAGCCAGCGAAGGTAGTTAAGAAATCGAAAAAGAAGAAGGCCGTAAAGGATGACTTAGATAAATATATTCAAGAACTTATTGAACAAGAAATTACAAAGACGGACTTGGAGCAATATGAGCCCACGGAAATCGACGCAAAACCTAAGCCTAAGAAAAAAGTCAAAACCCATCATAAAAAGAGTGTGGAAATAATTGATGGTCTTCCCGTTACTGTTCATGAATATGATGTTTCCGAATTAGAGCCTGACCTTACAGAGGAAGATAAGGAATCTGTAATATCAGAGAAGCCTGAAGAGTTGCCTTTGGAGCATGATGAACCCGACAAATACTTAGTAAACGTACTAGACGAAATCTTAGAACCAACACAGACCATTGAAGACATAACTGACGAGCCGACGACAAAGCCTAAGAAAGAAAAACCACAGAAAAAGAAGAAGGTTGAAAAAGTTCCAATAGTCTTAGATGAAATAGCTGAAACGACTGAAGTTATTCAACAGCCCACAGAAGATGGTGTTGTGAAAGAAGTGACTGTGAAGAAGCGTAAGGTTACTCATAGAAAGGGTTCTAAGCAAAGCGTATTTGAGATAACGGAAACCACTAGCGATGACCATCCCATGGCGGAAGTGACAGTCGTTGAGTTAACAGAAATTGAACTATCAGTGACTGAAGAAACGCCCGTTATTGAACAAAAAGTAATAAAGAAACCCAAAAAGCTAAAGAAGGAAGATATACAGGAATATGTTATCAGTGTAATTGACGATTTTGTGCAAGAAATACCCGTCGAAACAGTTGAAGAAGATGTCAAGGAAATTGTCGAAGAGAAAAAGAAGAAGACCAAAAAGTCTCCAAAGGAATATAAATACAGCGAAGAAGAAAGCTTGCCCGACAAACTTGAAATTCCTGAAGAGGAACAGCCTGATCAGCCTGATGATGCAGCACTTGAAACACCAGAAGAATTCACTGACTTTGCTGTAGATGTTAAAGAAACTGTTCCCACTGAAGAAAAGAAACCTAAAAAACCGAAGAAGCAAATTAAGTCAAAGCCTGTCGAAGAAACAGAAGAGGATAAACACCCCGACTATAATGTAAAGATATCTTCAGTGGATGAAATAGAGGAGCCTGAATTACCAGAGTCTGAAATTGAACTTTTGGAGTCAGAGGCAGTACAGCCAACAGAGGAACCAGTTTTCCAAATAGAAGAAATCGAAACTAAGCCGGAAATAGTTGAAGAACAGGACGAACTTGGTGAAACAACTAAGAAGGTTGTCAACAAGCGCAAGATCAGAAAGCAAGTTGGTCCCAAAGAAGAGATTATAGAAATTGTCGAGACTGAAAAGGATGGCGTACCAGTATATGAAGTCTCAGTAACTGTTGAAGAGGCTGAAAAAGAAATCGAAGAAACTCCTCAAGAAGAAAAGCCAAAGAAGGTCAAGAAGACTAAAAAGGTGCCCAAAGATGACTTACACGACTATATACAAAAACTTATAGAGCAGGATATTCCAAAATCTGAATTGGAGAAATATGAAAAGATAGACTTCGACGAACCAGTTAAAATGAAAAAGAAAAAGCCTGTGAAGAAGGTTAAAATTACAGAGGAAGAAGTACCAGATGTAACTGAACAGTTAATAACAGAATCTCCAGAAGATAAGACCCAACCATTAGAAAGTCCTTTGGATGAATCTCTGGCAATGGTTACGATTAAAGAATTCGCAGCGCCAACACCAAAAGAAACATCCTTCGAAGTTACAGTTCTAGAAGAATTTGTGGAAAATAAGCCGATCCCCGATGAGGAAGGTGAGATTAAAGTCAAGGAAGTAAAAACAAAGAAAATAAAGCACAAAAAGGGCCCAGAAGAGGTGATTCATGACATAACAGTTGTGCAGGACAAGGATACCGGTGAATCTGAAATTACTATTGTGACATCAAGTCCTAACGAAACTGAAGATCAGCATGAGGTAACTGTTAAGCAAAAGCGTACCAAAAAAGTGAAAAAGGATGATGTTGATGATTTCATCAAAACAGTTATTGAAGAAGATATACCAAAGGAAGAGCCAACCGCCGTTGTTGATGTTACTGAGGAAACAGTTCCTAAGCAAGTTCCAGAAAAGCCAAAGAAGGTTAAGAAGAAGGAAACAGTCCCAACAACAGAAGAAACTCCAACGCCCACAGATACAGTAGAAATCGTTGAAAGTCTCCCAGAAGAACAACCAACTGAACAGTTCAAGATAGATGTCGAAGACACAACTCCAGTCGTCGAGTCTGATAAGGAACATGAAATAACTGAAGAAGTAGTAGAGCCACAGAAGAAAAAGAAGCCTTCGAAGCAAAAGGTTAAAGTTTCTGAAGAGCAACCTCAGGAAGAAACTGTTGTGGAACCTTTGGAGGTTATAGAAAAGGAGACTGATATCGAAGAGCCAGAAAATCAAGAGTATAGTGTTACTTTCTCGGAGGAAGAACCTAAAGTTGAGGAGAAACCAGAAAAGAAGCCCAAGAAGGTTAAGCAAAAACCAGATCAACCAGACGAATCCTCCTACGAAATCTCTGTCAAGGAAAGCTATATTCAACCGGAAGATCTTCCATCAGTAGTTGAAATTATCGAAAGTGAAACTAAAGCGGAAGAAACCACAGACGATGCTGGCGAGGTCCATAAGGTCGTTACAACAAAACGTAAGATTAAACGTCCAAAAGGAGAAACTGATGAAATTATTGAAATAATCGAAGTAGTTACTGATGACCAGCCCGATGCAGAGATTACAATTGTAGAGTATGAACCGGTGCAAGAAGAAGAAGAAGAGAAGCCGAAGACACCGAAAAAGAAATCCAAGAAAGTGAAAAAGGACGATATCCATGACTATATACAGAAACTTATAGATATGGAAACTCCTAAGACTGAACTGGAGAAATATGAGAAAATGGAATTCGAGCCAACAACCAAAGATAAGCCTACTAAAACTGAAGATATTGAAGTGGTAGAAGAGTCGCCAACTGATAAGCCAAAGAAGGACAAAAAGTCTAGGCCAAAAGAGTCACCAAAGAAAGAGGAATCTTTACCAGAGCCTGTGGCCGAAATTAAGGTTATCGAAGAGGATGTGGTGGAGGAGCCGAAGGCAGTTGAAGTGGTTGAAGTTCAGCCGGAGGAAGTGCAGTACACTGAAACAATCACTGAAGAAGGCCTTCCAGTTCAAGAGAAAACTACTAAGCGAGTATTAAAGAAAAAGGGTCCCAAGGAAGACACCACCTTTAAGATAACAACAGTCGAAAGCGAAAATAGTGATACCGTAACTGTAATCGTTGATGAGGAACCTGAAATCGCGCCAGTTGAGGCTATTGAAACTAAGCCAGAGGAAATAGTTGAAGACAAGCCGAAGCCCAAACCTAAGCCAAAGAAGGTTGTAAAGAAGGTTAAAAAAGACGATTTAGACGATTATGTTAGGCAACTGATAGAGGAAGAAATACCCAAGACTGAAAAAGAGGTTTATGAAAAAGTAGAAATGCCCGATAAGCCGAAAGACAAATCCCCAACAGAGAGTACTTTAGAAGAAGTTAAGTCTAGCGAACCCGAAATACCATTAGCAGCTGCTGATTCAACCAAACCTAAAAAGACGAAAACACCTAAGCCAAAACCAGTTGATGTAGTCGAACAAAGACAAGACGAACCTACAGAAGAGACAATTCCCAAGACATCAGAAATTACAGAAGACACAACAACTCAAATTGCACACCCCGAGGACACAGCCACTGCACAAATTACACCAAGCGCACAAGATGAAATACCTACTCAAGATGACACTAAAGATACAGTTCAAAAAACAATTAAGCATAAGAAAGCAAAGCCAGACACAGTAAAAAGCGTTGAAACAAGTAAGTTATTAGCTGAGAGTTTATTGAGGCTTAAAACTTCCACCGCACACGCAGCACCTGCTCCTTTTGTCTGTGTCTTTTGCCTATTGTTTATTCCAACGTTGACTTCCACTATTTCGCGCCTACACCTTCCTCTCTCACTCTCTCTATTCTTTTACTCTTTCTTGCTCTCCCTCCCCCTTCTGCTGATTTTCTACTGTCTAATTTGAGTAGTCTCAGCTAAAAAAAAAATATTTTACTATTTATACCTACATAAACACACTTATCCAATATTTTGAAACACCAAACTGCATGCTATTAAATTCAATAAAAAGTCTACTAAAGTTCTTGTTTGCCTTCTCTAATCAAAATTCCACATTACTATAACTAAAAAACTATCTTTAAAATGACTAACTGTTTCGAAATACTTATATGTAAAGTTTTTAAAACATTTAGGAAATTTATTTTATATTGGACATCGTTCAATTGTTTTCGTAAAACTGCTGTAAATATTTAAATATTTTTTTATCAAGCTCAACGATTTGCTTGCATTCTTCTGCGAAGGCAATGCACGGATTCATGCTATAGCCGCAAGAATTGTATTTTACTTAAAATATAAATTTCTATAACAGGTGAAGCACCCGAGGCTTATAAGGATTATCACATAAGCATAATTGATGAAGAGCCTGAAGAAAAAGAAGAACAGCCCGACAAAATCTTGGAAGTTAGAGTTATCGATGAAGTTTCCGAAGTCGAAGAGTCTCAACCAATCGTCGAAGAAGTCGAAGAGGAGGATGAAAAGCCGACTACAGAAGATACTGTTGAGGACGTCACGAAGCCAAAGACAAAGAAAAAGAAGGTTGTGAAAAAGAAGACCAATGAACACGATGAGTTGATACAGAAGTTGCTTGAGCAAGAAATCGAGAAAACAGAGCTAGAGAAATATGAGAAGGTCGAATTCGACATACCCAAGAAAGTGAAACCAGAATTCGCTAGTCTCGAACCAATGAAAATAGAAAGAAAAGAACAGAAGCCAACAAAGGTCACAATCGTTGATGCCGCTGAAGTACCTAAGATGGTGAAGCTAAAGCCTGGAAAACGAAAGGAAAAACCAGCAGAAGAACAAACTGTGCAGCTTCCCAAATTCAGACTTAAGACTCGTATGGTTATGGTTGAGTATCCGCCAGCACCACTTGTACCAAAGTTAAGTGACATTGGTTCAGTGAAGCAGAATGGTGATCTCTCACGCAATATTGAGGAAGCCGAGGAGCTACTTAAGTTCAAGCCACACAAGACCAAGAAAATTAAGAAGATAAAGGATGACTTAGAAAAGGTCGAGCTTGAAAAATACGAAAAATATGTTAGTAGTGAAGAGGAACCTGAGGAAAAGCAACCATACCAAAAGCCTGAAAAGGTACCAAAACCAGAGGAAAGTCCCGATGAGGTAAAACTTAAGATTGGAAAGGGTAAGAAAAAGCCCAAGGAAGAAGAATCTCCAGAAAGTGTTACACTCAAAAAGATACCTCAAAAGCCCAAGGAAACTGAAGAAGAAATTGAAGCGAAGCCCAAGGAAAAAGCCGAGGTAACGATTGTAGAGCAACCAAAGGAGCCAAGGGAACAGGATATACAGGTTGAACCATTTGAACCAATCGACTATGAGCGACCGGAATATGTTCCAGAAGAACTTGAGCAAGTCGAACAGCCAGAAAAACCAGAAAAACAAAAGAAACCCACTAAAACCAAGTACAAGCCTAAAGAAAAAACGAAGCCTGAACCAGAAACGATTATTACAGAAATCGTACCTGGAAAACCCAAGGAAGAAGAACAAGTTCCTGAAGCTGAAATTAAGTTCCGCAAGCCGGAGAGTGAAGCACCAGAAGAAACTGATTCTCAAATCAAGCTGAAACCATTTAAAAAGACTGCTGAAGAGCCAGTAGTTGAAGATGTTGTTGCAGAGGCAACGGTTTCGGATCCCAAGCCAGAAGAAAAGGTTGACATCCCTCAAGATGAAGTCAAGAAGACTAAGAAATCAAAACCGAAGCCCAAACAACAACAGGAGGAAGAAACAGCTGAAGAGCAGCAACCAGAATTTGAAGTCTCAGTTAAGGAAGAAGAGGCTGTCACTGAAAAGCCCGAAGATATCGAAAAGCCCAAAGAAGTAAAGGTTAAACAAAAGAAACCGAAAGAGGCGCCAACAGCTGAGGTTGAAATCGTCGAAGAACTGCCGCAACCAACTGAAGTTCCTGAAGATATACCTGTCGAGTACAAAATTACAACGACTGTCTTAGAACCGGAAGAAGCACCAAAGGAACACCAAGTTAAAGTGATTGACTTTGATGAAAAGGAAATAACCACGGAGGAAGTTGTTGAAGAAAAGGTTGTTACCAGGAAGAAGAAGCCTAAGCCAGAACAACCAGAAGAATTCCAAGTCACTCTTCAGGAGCCACAACAAATACAGCCTGAACCAGAAGAAGCAATTGCTGAGGTTCTGATTCCTGTTCAAAAACCTCAACCAGAAGCTGAAGAGTTTGAAGTAGAACTAAAGATAACCGAACCGCAAGTAGAGGAACAAGAAGTCGTTGTAAAGAAAAAGCCCAAAAAGAAGCCAGAGAAGAAGTCAGAGGAGGTTGTCGAAAGTGTAGTGAAAGAAGTGGAAACTCTACCGGAAGAGCAAAAAGAAGAAGATATTGTCGTTGTAGAAGAAGAAGCAAAGGTCGAAGAACCACAACCAAAATCTTTCGAATTCCAAGTCACTGAAACTGAAGCTCCTCAAAAGAAACCGGAAGAAGTCATTGAAGAAAAGCCTAAAGAAAAGGTGAAGAAACCAGCTCCAAAGGTAGAAGAGAAGTTTGACTCTTATCAAATTTCCATTAAGGAAACAGAGGCCGAGAAAGTAATCGTGCAGGAAGAACAACCTACTGAGGATGTTCCCGACGAAGCAATATTTACTCCAAGGCCAAAACAACCTGAACCAGTCGAAGCTGAGTTTGTCATGACAGAACCAAAGCCGACTGAAGAGACTCATGTAGAAGCTGAAATAAAACCAAAGAAAACAAGGAAGCCAAAGAAAACTGAAGAGGTTACTAGTCTTGATGTTAAAGTTGTTGAAGAAGTGGCAGCTCCTGAAGAGGTTGTAGTTGAAGAACAACAAATAGAGATTGTTGAAAAGGAAACTATCCCTGTCGAAGAAGCACCAAAGGAATACACAATTCGAGTCTCTGATTCACAAATCGAGCAACCAGAAGAACCAACTGCAGCTGAATTTACTGTTAAAAAGGCAAAGCCCTCCGTTGTGGCTACTGAAGAGCCGGAAGCCGAGTTTGTTATGAAGGAAAGCAAACCAGTGGAAGAAGTTACCGAAGTAGCCGAATTAAAGACAAAGAAACCTAAAAAGAAGGTCAAGGAGGTTGCTGCAGACGAATTAAAGATCCAAATCACTGAAGAAATACCTCAAGAAATTCCCGAAGTGGAGGAAATTGAGGAGGTTGTAACAGAAGTAAAGGAGTCCGTTCCTGTTGTTGAATACAAGTCGTATGAAATTGGTGTAAAAGAAATAGTACCTGAGAAGCCTGTTGAAGAAGAAGTAATTGAAGAGCCCGTAGTAGAAGAACCTCAAGTCGAAGAGAAAGCTCCAACTGTTGAATACAAATCATATGAAATTGGTGTGAAAGAATCAGTTGTTGAAAAGCCTGTGGAAGAAATACCAGCAGAAGAGCAATTGGTAGAAGAGCCCATAGTTCAAGAGCCACAACCAGAAACATTCGAAGAACTTAAAGTCAGAGTGATTGAAGAGACGCCTCGTGAAGTTGTTGAGGAAGTTCTCGAAGAGAGTGTTAAGGTTCATCGTAAGAAGAAGCCGAAACCAGAAGTAACAGAAGAGCCTGAGGCCCAGATAAGCATTTCCGCTCCTAAACCTGTTGATGAAGTGGAAGCGGTTCAAAGCGTTACCATTGTACCCGAAGTACCAACAGAAGAGGAAGCTGCTGAGCTTAAGATAACTGTTATTGATGAAATTTCCGAGCCTCAAGAGCTAGTCCAGGAGATTGAGGAAATAGAAACAGTCGAAGAAGAAAGCTCTGTACCAGTACCTGAAGAAAAGCCAAAAGACTATCAATTTAGCATTAAAGAGTCTGAGGCACCAAAGGAAACTATCGAGGAATTGCCAGAAGAACAAGTTACTATCCCCAAGAAGAAAAAGGTTGTAGAGCAAAAAGAAACGGTAGAAGAATTACCGGAAGAACAATTCACTATTCAAAAGAAGAAGAAAAAGCCTGTGCCTGAGGTTGTCGAGGAGCCTGAAGCCGTTTTTGAAATTAAACAAAAGCAACCAGTCGAAGAGGTTACAGAGGAGGCTAAAATTAAGAAGAAGACGAAGAAACCAGTAAAAGAAGATGAGGCAGCTGCAGAGCTCAGTGTCACTGTGATCGAGGAATCTGCACCAGAGCCAGAAGTAATTGAAATAGTGGAAGAAATTGAAGAGAAACCGGAAGAAAAGCCTGAAGAAAAGCCCGTAGAGCAGCCCACCGAGTACCAGTTCACGATTAAGGAAAGCCAACCTGAAGCTCCAGCAGAAGTTGAAGAGGTAGAAGATGTTCAAGAGGTACGATTCCAAAAGAAAACGCCAAAGGTCGCTGAGCCAATTGAAGAGCCGGAAGCTGAAGTTACCCTTAAACCAAAACCTAAGACAGAAGAAGTACAGGAGGAAGTTAAGATTGCTAAGAAGAAACCCAAGTCTAAGGTTGTGGAGGAAGCTGCTGAAGAACTGACAGTTAAGGTAGAGGAAGAAGTTACTCCAGAGCCCATAATAGTGGAGGAGGAAGTCGTAGAAGAAATTGAACTGAAGAAACCAGAAAAGCCAACACCAGAGGAAACAGTTGATGACGCCGTTTTCAAAATTAAGAAACCAAAAGCTCCTGCAGAAGAGGAGGAGGTTGTAGCTGAAGTGACTTTGAAGCCCAAGGCTCCAAAGGAGGTGCAGGAAGAAGAGTTCTCTGTAGATGTTAAGTTACCAGCAGAAAAGAAGGTTTCAGAGGAAACATCCGACCAAACTGTGCAGCTCAAGAAGAAAAAGAAGCCTCAAAAACCAGTTGAGGAAGCTGCAGATGAGCTACAACTTAAGCAAACCGTCATCGAGGAGAGACCACTTGAGATTGAAGAGGAGGAAATCATTGATGAAGCCGTTGTAATACGAAGGAAACCAAAGAAACCCTTCCAACCAACTGTTGAAGATCTTGAAGAAACTGAATTCAGCCTCTCATTCAAGAAGCCACATACTGTTACCGAAGGCGTCGAAGAAGCAGCTACAGTTCTTAAGAAGCGTCCGGTGAAGCCCCAAACCCTTGATGAAGCTGCAGCGGAGCTGTCTATAAAACGCCTGGAAGAAGAATACGAAGAAGGCGATGACGTTGAAGAATTTGTGGTTAGTCAACGGCCCAAACCAAAACAAATGCAAATCACCGATGAAGAAGACCAGGAATACACCATTAAGAAGCTCAAACGCCGCAAGAAGGTGGACATTCCAGAGTTCTCTGAAGTTGAAAATGTCACTTTCCGAGCAAAGTCCACAAAGACCAAGGAGGACGTGGACCAAGAGTTTAATATTGCTCTTGACTCCTATGCTGAAGAGGAAGTGTCAATGTCTGGTAAAGTAAAACTTAAGAAGCCAATTAAGAAGACCTACTCTGAAGCAACTGATGAGGCCAGGATCAAAATTTTGCAAGACTATGATGATGGTGAAGGTCCAATAATTGAGGAAATCCACGACGATGAGGATACCATCGACGAAGTTGAGGAGCCTGAAGAGTACATGGTTGAAGAGCTGCCTCCAGATGAGGTTGACTTCAAGCTGAAGCCCAAGAAACAGCCCAAACCACATTACTCGATCCAAGACGAAGAAGAGGAACAATTCTTAATTGGTCTGCGACATGCCAAACGTGATTCAGTTACCTATGATGAGGACTCTCTAACATTCAAAAAGAAGCGTAAAATTGTACAACAACTTTTCAATGAAGGTAAGTTCTATTGGCTTATATTATCATTCGAGAACTTATATAATTATCAAGCTGCAATAATTTCTCATTCGATTCAAATTGCACAACTGCTTATATGGCAATAGCTTAGAAAAATGAGGTAAAACGACCCAGCACACGTAAATGTTAGTAGCTAATGCATAACTATCTTTTGTTGCCACCCATACATGTATACTTACTTCACTAAAGATTATTTTTTTAAACACATTTTAATAATCATTCCTTTACCATGAAACAGATGGCGCTTCTCTTAACATTACCAGAGAAATGGATGTGGAAGGTAAATATTTTAATCGATATTTTAGTCTTACCAAGAATTTAATAACATTCCATTCATTCTAGAATCTCAAACTGAGAATATCATGTACTCCATTTGCAATTACATTGCCGATAACGATGAGGCCATTAACTTAGTTGAGGGTGAAAAGGTGCAGGTTGTAGGACGTCACAGCTCCGAATGGTGGTATGTCAAGAAGAGCATTACCGAAGAAGAAGGTTGGGTCCCAGCCCAATATCTTATGGAGCCCGCGGAGTACGCCCAATATGTGCAGAATAAGCTGCACGAGAAGATTGACAAGCTACCTGTGTTTGAAAGTAAGTAAAATATTAGTCTAAATGTTGTTGTCTAACAAGGGATTTTCACATTGTCCTGTCTCGTTATTAACACTTATCTTAATGTCTTGTGATTTTGTGCGCCTATAAAGGACCAGGACCTCAGGACAAGCCCATTGCACCGCGTTTTATTGAAAAATTACAGCCAATTCATACACCTGACGGCTATACAGTGCAGTTCGAATGCAAGGTCGAGGGTAATCCAAGACCACAAATCGCTTGGTTCCGCGAAACAGCTATCATAAAGCCCTCGCAAGACTTCCAAATGTTCTACGATGAGGACAATGTGGCCACATTGATAATTCGCGAAGTCTTCCCCGAAGACGCTGGCAAGTTTACTTGCGTGGCCAAGAATGCCGCTGGCTTCACTTCCAGCACAACCGAATTGATTGTCGAGAGTCCGTTATCGGATCATGGCTCAGATGCCACGGCACTTTCGCGCAGAAGCATGTCACGTGAATCTTCCATGGCTGACATACTCGAGGGCATACCGCCAACGTTTTCGCGTAAGCCCAAGGCACAATATGTCGATGAAGGCGCCAATGTAATCTTGGAGTGCCGCCTTGTCGCGGTGCCCGAGCCTGACATCGTTTGGACCTTCAATGGGGAAGATATTGATGAGGAAGAGATCAAGAATATTCGCATTGTAACCGAATCGGACATGCATATGTACTGCAGTGTTGTGCATATTACAAAGGTTAAGAAATCTCAGGAAGGTACTTACGAAGTGATTGCCACAAATCGCGAAGGCGAAGCTCGTTTGCCTATCACACTGAAGGTACGAACTTCGGATAAGGAAGCTCCACAAATTCTGGAACCGTTGCGAAATATGGTCATACGTGAGGGTGAAAGCGTTGTGCTCTCGACACAAATTGTAGGCAATCCAGCGCCCAAGGTAACGTGGTACAAGGATGGCAAGCCCATCAAGAATGCCAAATCAGAAAAAGACATACACACCCTAACACTGATAACGCCCAAAAAATCGGAGAAGGGCGAATACACGGTCAAGGCTGTCAATCCATTGGGCAGTGTGGAAACCACTGCCTATCTTACAATTGAAGGTACGTTATTTTGTTGTATGTTTAGCGACACTAAAAATATACTGATTTTCACAAATATTAATAATAAACTAACTCCATCTCCAACTAGAACCGACGAGTGGCAATGCAGAGCCTCCATTATTTGTGGAGCGCTTTGAGGAGCAGTCGGTGCCACAGAAGGGCGAGATTCGTTTACCTGCTAAGGTTTCGGGCAACCCAGTACCCGAGGTACAATGGCTTTTCAACAACAATCCACTGTATTCCAGCGAGCGCGTACAGCAGATCTACGATGGTGAAAATATTGAGCTCATTATCAAGGACGCCAATCCGGAAACCGATTCGGGTGACTACAAGTGTATTGCCAGCAATCCCATTGGCAAAACATCGCACGGTGCGCGTGTGATCGTTGAAGTCGATGAGGTGACCTTTACCAAGAAGCTGAAGAAGACCATTACCATTGAGGAGGTGCAATCTCTGACTCTTGAGTGCGAAACCTCGCATGTGGTTTCTACCAAATGGTTCTTCAATGGTAAAGAGCTGAGTGGCATGGATCACCGCGTTGTCGTCGAGGATGGCAAGACACACAAGTTGGTCATTAGGAATACAAATCTACGCGATTCAGGTACTTATGTGTGCAAGGTTAAGAAGCAGGAGACACAATCCACTGTGGAGGTGCTGCAGCGTAAGCCGGACTTCATTAAAGTCCTGGAGGACTATGAGGTTACCGAAAAGGACACAGCCATTTTGGATGTTGAGCTGACAACCGAAGCCGTAGAAGTCACCTGGTACAAGGATGGCGAGAAAATTACACCAGAAAACAAAAACTGCGAGTTCATCAAGGACGGCAAGTCGAGGCGTTTGGTAATACGCGATACAACAATTCACGATGAGGGCGAGTACACGTGCAAGCTGGAGGGCCAGGAGTGCAGTGCAGAGCTGACTGTCATTGAACTGCCACCGGAGATTGTAAAACACTTGAAGGACGTCAACGTCACCAAGGGTGAGAATGCCGTATTCGATATTGAGCTGAGTAAGGGCGATGCTCTGGTTAAGTGGTTTAAGAACGGCAAAGAAATCAAGTTCAATGAGCGCATACAACTGACGATTGATGGTAAAAAGCAATCTATACGCATTCTTAAGGCTAAGCCTGAAGATGTGGGCGAGTACACCATTCAAGTGGGAGACCAAGTTTCCAAGGCAAAACTGACAGTTGAGGAGCCATTGGTAGACTTTGTACTTCGTTTGCCCGACGTCACGCTGGCCACCAAGACCACAGATGCCGAGTTCACTGTCGAGCTCTCGCAGCCCGATGTCGAAGTTACCTGGTATAAGAAGGGAAAGCCCATCAAGCCCAACAAAAAGCATGAAGTCTTCGTTGAGGGCACTGTTCGACGTCTGGTCATTCATGATGCCGACGATGATGATGCGGGTGAGATCAGCTGTGTTGCCGAAAATGTCACTAGCAGCAGTAAGCTGTGCGTTGAGGAGCTCAAGTTGCCGCCCGTGATTACCTCTGACAAGGATCAAACCATCAAAGTAAAGGAGAATGAAGACGCTACATTCACTGTCAAGTACACTGGAGCGCCCACACCCGAAGCCGAGTGGACCTCCCGCAAGGTTGTCATTCCCAAGTCAAAACGTACCATACCCACAATTGATGAACAGTCCGCAACTCTGACCATTAAGAAGGTCGTTGACGATGACGAGGGCGAGTACACTGTTAAACTTGTAAATCCCGTGGGCGAGGCCGAAGCCAGCCTGCACTTGGTCATTATGCGTAAGTATACAAAATTAATTACAAATTAAGCGATGCGGAAACTTAGACCTGTGTCAAAACTTTAGGTAAACCTACGGCACCCGGCACACCGCAGCCCTTGGAGGTGATGCACGATTCAATAACTCTCTATTGGAAGGCTCCTGAAGATGATGGCAAGTCTGAAATTATAGAATACATTCTGGAGTATCATGATGTTAAACAAGAAAAGTGAGTATCATCTTTATAATAAATAGCCTGAAATCAAACCAAAACGATTATTTCATTAGGTGGATTGAGATACGCAAGATTAAGGACACAACTTATACCATCAGCAAGCTGAAGATCGATACAGAATACGTGTTCCGTTCGATTGCAGTCAACGAAGTTGGTCCATCGCCACCCTCACCCATCTCGTCGCCCATACGGCTGGTGCCTAAGGTGGAAACCGAAGCGCCCAGCGTACGCGAGCCTCTGCAGGATATTGTCAGCGATCTAAACAAGGAAGTGACATTGTCCTGTGTGTTTGGCGGCATTCCAGAGCCAACTGTCACATGGAAGAAGAATGGCGAAGTCTTCGAGTCGAGCAGCCTGCGCTACGAGAATCGTGTTGCCAAATACACTATTGAAAAGACAACTATTGAGACTGAGGCCACCTACACGTGCGTGGCTACGAATGAGAAGGGCTCCGTGGAGACATCGTGTAGACTGAAACTGCAGCAGAAGCCAACCGTTGAGATTGAGGACAAATATTTGTCCCAAAAACTGCGCACTGGCAGCACTCTCACCATTCCAGCAACAGTTCGTGGCTATCCACAGCCTACTGTGACCTGGCACAAGGAGACTGTCGAACAGAAGTCCACCACCCAGCAAGTCACGATTGAAACCACAGAGACCAGCTCCACCTACACCCTTAAGAAGGTAACACGCGAACACTCTGGTCGCTACAAGGTGACGGTCACAAATGAATCGGGCTCCAGCTATGCGGAATGCACGGTTCAAGTGATCGACAAGCCGAGCAGGCCACAATCCCTGGAGGTGAAAGACATCAAAAAGGACTCAATTACCCTGGAATGGACGCCGCCAATCGATGATGGTGGCATGGAAATCAAGCAGTATACGCTGGAGAAATGCGACGTACAGAACAATGTTTGGATGAAGGTTTCCGACTTCGACAAGGACATCAACTCGTATGCCATTCAAAAACTTTCCATGAATGCACAGTACATGTTCCGAGTGGTCGCCATTAATCCCATTGGTGAATCGGAACCAACTGAGAGTGAGCCTGTGACCATAACCAAGAGGTTCGGTACGTATCGTATAATAAGATTAGCAAAGAGAAAGTAAATAAATGGAAATGTTCTGTTAAACTTGCAGAGAAACCAACGCCACCACGTGAGCCCACCGCGGTGTCTGGCATGAACGACACTTCGTTCACATTATCCTGGGAGCCGTCGGAGAGCGATGGTGGCTCCAAGATAATTGAGTACATTGTGGAAATAAGGGAAGAGACTGAAACCGTTTATCGCTCCTTGGGCACTACGACGGGCACTGTAACAAACATTCACGTCGACAAAGTTGTGAGAAACAAGGGCTATCTGTTCCGAATCTACGCTCGAAACGAGGTTGGCACCAGCGACGCGTTCGAGACAACAGAGAAGATTGTTGTTGGACGCAAGATAAGTAAGTGATAGGAAATTCAAATAATGATAATTGCTTAATTTGCTTTGCAAATTGCTTTCTCTCTTAACGCCACTAATGCCTCGCTTTGCTAAATAATTATTAAACAGCGAATAACCAAGAAAACATGGGTACGTCATAGCGTCTTTCGAATTGCAATTATTTTTTGTTAATAATTCTATTTATGCATCACACTCCAGCGCCGCCTTCGCCTCCTCAAAATCTGAGAGCGCCGGATATAACCAGCCGCAGCGTCACTCTCGATTGGGAGGTGCCAGCCAGAAATGGTGGTTCCGAAATCACAGGTAAAATTTATATCAAATAACCAAATGGAGACATTAACAGAAACAATTTTCGTTTATACACCCGCAGGCTATTGCGTGGAGAAACGCTCTTCAACATCGACCAGCTGGACAAAGGTCATTACACTGGATGCACACCAGCTGCACTACACCATAGACAATCTGAAGGATAAGTGCGAGTATTGGTTCCGTGTGTCAGCGGAGAATGAGGTTGGATTAGGTGCACCAGCCGTCACGGAAAGCATATCGCTTAAGACACACGCAAGTAAGTTGAGCTTGGCTAGACAAGTTAACGCAGCTCTAATTCGTTTCCACTCTTGAACCAGCTGTACCATCGCCACCAACTGCTCCACTGGAGGCCCGAGTGCTTGCGGCCAATGCACACGTATTCGAATGGGGTATACCCGAGTCAGATGGTGGTGCGCCTCTGCTCGGCTATCACATAGCCATACGTGACATGAAGAAGTCCATGTGGATTGAGGTCGGTCGGGTGCCAGCCGGTGTGCAGAAATTCCAGATAAGAGACCTGCAAGAGAATCACGAGTACATGATACGCATTCTCGCCAAGAATGAGATTGGTCTGAGTGAACCGCTCGAGTCCGAGGAGCCATACAAAGTGATGACAGCGGGTATGTAGAAATATCTATCTCCACAAAGATTTTAAGCATGGCTAATTCTAATAACTTTCATGTAATGCAGGTCATGCCAGCCTGCCCGATGAGCCGCGCACAGAGATGAGCACATGCAACACGTCCTCCTGGCTGCGGGATCACAATATGGATGCGGACATACACTCGTATGCCCGTGGCAGGCTGCTTCAACGCGATGAGTACTTCTTCCGTCTCTGGGCGCAAATGCCCAAGAAGAAGAAGAGCTCCAAATAGACAAAAACATAAAACAAAACAGAACAAACACAAACACCAACACCAACAAATAGCCATGACAAAAAACGAATGAAACTTAGGTTAGGTTAAGCTTATTTCAATTGTATTTTAATGAATTCTTAACTTTTTATTTAGCTTTTTCTACTTGTAATGTACCCATTGTAAAGGGCATGTAATGTTCGGCATATGCGTCCGGCAACAGCGATGTTCACGAAACTGAGACAGAATGGGGCGAGCGAAGACAAACTTGATGTTTGAGTGCGTGAACGTGGCTGTTGGCCTGTGACCTCATTGGCCCATTACATAAACTATGAAAGAAATTTGTTTATAATTTGCATAAATTCGTATGATTTCCTGCGCTTTATTTTTGTAAGCTGTGATAAATTTATCAAATTCGAAAGCGTCAAACGATAAAATGCCATGACATTTGCGCCAGGACACAACGCGCATCGGGCACAGGACAGTCAACGGACAACGGACAACAACCAGCAACCAAAATAGCAACAACAACAACAACACCAGCCACAAGAACACAACACAAGTGATTCAATATCCTCTAGGGAGACAAACAACAAATGGTGCAATTCGATATGAGTTACGAGTACGTTGTGTTCCTGTGTGTGTGTATGTGTTTGAGTGTGTTGCGTTGTGCGTCGCGCTGACTGTCCTTTGCCTTTGCCGTGTGCTCACTGTGAGCAAATTTATGACATCTAGAGGGTTACATAACTATACTCCTATATATACATATATATTGTGAAAGAACCCAACATGACTTTAAACTGAAGAAAAACCAAACAAAGAGAACTAAATGAAAAATAAAATAAATATGAATGAATTTTTAACGAACAACTTAAAGTGGTTTAGTTTGGGTTCAACACAACTTTTGCGCAGTTGAGCACGAAAAATCAACTAATTAATTCATTAGTTAGTTTTGGCCGACTCTGAAGAAGAGTCGAAGTTAACGGTAAGTTTGCTCTGCCAAAGTTTTCTATTAAGTTTTTATTCTAAAACTTAAAGTCGACAGCCAAACAATGGCAGCTACCAGCTGCCCAGTCTGACATGCGTGTGCAGGACCTAAAACTGTATGGAATACAGAGAGAGGGAAGCGGGAGGGGAATGTGGCATATAGATGCCGACACTAGGCTACAGTTACGCGTCGTTGAACTTATCTGGTGACATGGGCACAAAGTTTCCATACAGACAGAGAGACAGAAAGACAGAGACAGAGAGAGAAATACAAAGAGAGAGAGAGCGAATTGTGTGCGAATTTAATTAAAGTTTTTGCGGTTGCCACTAATCAAAAGATATTATCTAAAATGCTCTATGTGGTAGTTACTTTGGCTGGCAAATAACTTTCTGCTGCGGGCACAACTGTAATTTACACTAAGCTGATTGGGCGTCAGTAAAAGCCAGCTGGGCGTGGCTAGACGCCAGAAGTTTAGGCAGCAAATGGACTCATAAAGCTAAGCATATTTCCGGGCACTTTAAACTGCACACGAACAAACGAAAAGCAAACACTTCACTCGGCTGCCTCTGTGCACGGCAACAACGAAATAAAGCCACCTTTGCTTGCAGGTATATATAACAACACCTACAACTGCTATTGCTATTGATACCGGCATTCAGCCTGGCAGCCTGGCAGGAAGCATATTTAGTGTTGCCACTAAACGATCGGCCAGTCGCTCTGGAAGCTTCTCGTCCTCGTCCTCATCCTCGTGCTTCTTCTCGTGCTGGTCCTTTGGCCAGCTCCTGTCGCCTATTTGGAGGGCTTCCTATGCCCGGCACACGAGCGGAAATTTCATTTACTTGTTTGCTTTTTATGCGCTTCATTCGATTTCTGCTTCTTTAGTTGCTCTACGATTTTATTGTGTTAAATTCCAGCTGCCGCATTAGCTGAACATTTTTCAAACTTAAATACTTGAGAATTGCAAAAAAGATTAACTTTTTTGTCTTTAAGCTGCTGTCAGTCGTCAGACTCGCATGCCCATTAGTTATGGTTTATTAATGCCGCACTCGAAACTTGGGCAGAAAGTCGGCCTAACACAATTGAAAACTTGTAATAGCATTCGGCAAGTTGGCCGTATTGCTTGTAAAACAAAATTACACATAAACTTTATGGGGTGCACGTAGAAAATTGAGGCTATACTTTTTCCCTGACACGGCTCGTCAAACGTGCTAGCCTGCCCACAAAAAAAAAAACATAAAACAAAAAAAGGAAAGAAAACCAAAACCCAAACCAAAGACGAACCAAATAAAACAAAGAGACAGCAAAAAGTTTGGCTAATTAGTTGCCAAAATAATAAACGATAATAGCATGGCAAAGCCACTTCTTCTAGGCATCCAGCCATGCCGAAATGCTAAAACAGATGTTGCTTTTGTCTTTTTCTGCTGCTGTCTCTCTGTATGTGTGTGTCACACAAATTGAATTATCAACTTGGAAGGAAGTCGAAATCAGTTACATTTTGGCACTGATATCAACAAAATTAGCAAATCAAAGACAAAACTCTTAATTAATCAAGTTTTCAATTTGACACAAATTTCGAAAAAATGTACTAAGAACATTTCAGTCGAACGCCTATGGCTGCATGATACTGGCTCAAAGATAACTAAATTTAATCAAACAATCCCAATGGCTGAGTCACAATCATGTTAAGGGCCTCTCTGTAAAAGAAAAAAAGTGAACTAGCTGCAATACTTTGTGATTCGAGTTTAAGCTTTCAATATCTCAAAGAGACTCTTAGCTGTAATTTATGTTTAATCTAAAAAGAAACTAAAGCCACACTTAAATTTCTGTTGACTTTGTGAAAGAGTTAAAAAGAAGTAGGTAGAGTCAGACGGATATGCACAACTGGTAGATACGCTGTAAATGACGTTCAGCTGATTTGCTTTCAAATATTTATGATTTCTGCTCTAGATTGATACAAGATAGTTAATTTTCTTGATGGGCAGACATAATAAAAAATAAATGAAAATGAATTTTTTTATTACTGAAAGAGCTGTAAAATAGACTATCTAGTCATATATATGTTATACACATAAAAGTACAGATTAAACAAGCTAAATAGAATGCTTGGAGATAGCATTAGGCGCATATATTACACTTGTTAGTACGTACGTTATACATGCATACATATACTCTTAATTGCCCTGACGAAAGATGTGTCATAAAATGTTAGTTTCAGCTCATTTTTATTGCAGGGAATTAAGCAACCGAAAGAGTCGCTAGGCTGCAGATAAACGGATGCTTTGTAGAAGTGGGTAACATTATAAATGTATCTGCGCAGTTATTTACGGGTCTACATGGTCCCCGAATAGCACCAAAATGACAGCCGAAATAGCTGTATGTATAATTGCCCAACAGCTCTGCCCGGAGCCATGAACCACGCCCATTAAGTACAGCAACAAAAACTGCAGCGCAGTAAAGCCAGCAAAGACGTCTGCTTCCTGCCTGCAGCCGGGCCGATAGGGTCGATAGTTATATATATATAAATGTGTGCAGGACTTGAGGAAAATTAAGAAAATGTTTTCACTCTTTGGGAAAGCGCTCGGAGCGCAGATCCATTGCTCTATTGTATACATGACTTGCAACTGTTTGTGAAAACTAAAAGAGTTTTAAAGTAAATCTTACTCTTACATATAGCTGTGGGGCATAAGAAGGTATGCACATATATATACCTATGTACTTTAAGGTATTATGGCCGGAGATTTGCATGAGCTTCTTAGCGTAAGCTTGCGAATCGATATACCCAGCACACACTAGGGCATATTGTAAATATAAAATATTTATTGCCAGATTGCACACGCATTCAGCATGTCCTTCGGGCAGCAACAGCTACATGCTGAATGCTGAATGCTGAATGCTGAATGGTGTATGCTGAATGCTGCCTGCTGATATGTACACAATGTTCTTTCGACCTTATCCTTTCCTTTGACTGCAGCGACAAACGCATTTTACATGCATTTCACCCCTTTTGCTAGCCAATTCATAACATTTAACAGCTCGCAGAGGCCAGTAAAAATATTCTTACACTTTACAATTTAATGGAGACATTTTTGGTACAAATTATCCACCGACCCCACAGCCAGAGGCACCATTTAAAAATCAAGTGTGCTGAAAATTAAATTTCGCAGAGCTGTGCAGCAGCAGGGCAGCGAGTCAATGCAGTGAGATGGCTTCCAGCCAGAAACTAATGAAACTGCCTCGACTGCTGCTCCACAGCTGCTGACATTTCGTTGGGACATCATGTTTCCCACACACTAATACACATAGTAATATTTACTAAGCTTCCCTGTGCATGTGCATGACTTTTTAAGGCAGCGCAATTAAAGTCAATTGGCATTTTACCAAACGCCCAACGTGTCGTATACGTAATGTCAAGCAAATCTGTGTGTGTGTGTGTGTGTGTGGTGTCAACAGCATTAGCTTGCGTTGACTTTAGTTATTAGCACGTCTCTGGCAGCACAAATGCTTTCATAATTCATTACGCACACCCAAAATGAAATTTTCGACATTGCGCATACGCCGCGTTGTCTAAGCATAAATTAATTCATTTGCCAGAGGCAACTTTATAGTTATTTAGGTGTCTTCCTCATTTGCACTGCCACAGATTTTATGGTTTCTTCGGTGTATTGTTTGGCAATTCCAGAAATCAACAGCAACAGCAACATCAACCTGAACAACAGCAACAAGCAATGAACTGAAATTTATTTGTATTTCGTTTCGCTCTTCGAGAAGTTTTACAGCCTAACTAGGTGCCGCTGGCTGCTGATGTTTGTTTTATGGACTTTTGCGGAACTCAGATCTCACTCCAGTTTATTTTATAATGTGCCCATAAAAGTTGTAAGCCATTTGCATTTTTATTTAGACCCACACACAAACGCAGACTTTGATTTGGCTGTTTGACTGATTAGTTCTCATTATAAAGAGCTTCGACATTTACGAGCATATTTCGGACAGCATCTATAGCCATTGAGAAAGCAATCATAAAAGGATTTCTTTAATGCAAATGGGCACAGATTAGCAAGCGCTTTATTGAGTTCGTCCTTCAAAGTTTCAATTTTGCGTTGATTTTGTAATTTGCCGACCCTTTTTCGCCTGGGTTTATTACTCTATTTTTCAAGTTCTGTTAAGCAAACTGTTGGATGTCAGCTTGCAGCTACTTTACACGCCGTTGACTTAATTCTGTGCCAGTTCCATTGGCCTTTGCATAAATGCATCCTAATGCGCCTCAATTTTGTGGCGGCATGAGGTAGCCGAGGCACGCTAAACAGATTTGCACCTTGCATATAAAGCCAAATTTACACGCTGTAACGAAAATTGCAACGCAAATATGCAAATAACTATAGAAGCTAGAAGCAGCATCAGCAGCAGCAGCAGTGGCAGCAGCAGCAGCAAGTCTAAAGAAGTGCAACCCTCGGTTAAATTTTGAGAACTAAAAAAATGTTTTGTGCCAGGTTTTCATTTGGCAAGCGAAATATCCAGCTGAAAATGAAGTTGTTATGTATCTATATATATGTGTGTGTGTTTGGGTGTGGGTGTGTTGGGGCGGGAATAATGTACAAACGTGTTGGTCTTATCGACCAAGATATGCATGCAACAGCAAACAAAGCTCAATTCAGCTGCATTCTTGTTGCAGCTGCAGCTGCAGCTGCCATTTGGCAACGTTTCCCACTGTGAGTGGGAACGCAGTGCTCAGTGCTCAGGCTGTTTACGTGCTTATCGAGCAATCGATGTGAGAATTATAGTCGTGCTGGCATGGTTAAGCTGCTTAGAATGCACTGCCAGACGGCCAACGTGTCGTATGCGTGCTGTCGTTTCACAGATCCTCGTATAC